GTCTGGGGAAAACCCCGATACCGCTGATAAAGGCTGGGTTTGGGAGGAAAAGGATCAGAGAGATTTTTGCCGTGTTGTTCTTTTAGACTTGGAATAGCCAATTACTTCAAATAATGATTATATATATCTGACACCATTATTTTTTCTTGTTTCTTTTTCATGAAAGGAGAAGAATAAATGTTAGATTTTTTTTAATTTATTTCTTTATGGAGTTGTTATCCATGTTTTTTATTTATTTATTTATTTAGACAAATTAATTTTTTTGTAATACGTTGCTGTGCAAAAGCCTCGAGACCCTCCTCATTTCTGTGTTTAGGTTCCAAGGAGCCAGACTTAATGCTTTTACACACCGGATGCGTTAAAAATATTTTTTGTCACCTGTTCATAGTGTAATTGTTTTTATTTTACAATTTTTTTAAATTAATTTTTGAATCAGCTCGATATTTCCAAATAAATAGATCTGACCAATCAGACCGTTGCATTTGGCAAAAAGTGTGCTCATACTAAAAAATGCACACCGCTACTGAATATATTAAGATTTTGAAATAGTAAAATAAAACTGTTTTACTTCACACACAAGTGGGATTTCAAATCGTATCGTTTGTTCCAGTTTCTTTAGCTGAATCTACGAAAAATGTCACAGATAACAATTTGGTTGCCATTAAATGTTGGGAATCTCAAAAACTTGGGATGTTTCATTTCATGTTTTTGAAAAAACTTGAGGATACTGGACAAGTGGAGGGCAAAAGAAGAAGTGGTGGGCCGTTTTTAAAATGAAAAATGTGCATCAGATGAACAGTGTCTGAAAATCATGTCCTAAAGAAATGGGAGTAACACATTCTTCTTAAGAGTGTGGGACTGATCATTACAACGTGCCATGTAGTGTTTTGGCAGATGTGGGTGTTACTCTTGTTAATAAGGGAGCTGTTAGAAATTCCACAAGGGGAAAGTTCACAGTGTTTCCATTGTCATGACTGTAGGAAATGGAAGGGTGATGTGTTAAGAGGCTGCTAGCGTGCCAGCACCTGCAGCTTTCACACAGCTTTTATTCCAGAATAATGTCTTTGGTGTTTGGATTTTAGAGTGCGTCATGTTCTGTCACTTCGGTGGGAAGTGGGATCACTCACGACATTCACAGTGGCTCCACTGTTTGGGGACTATCAGTCTCAAAAATGTCTGTAAATCAACTCACCGGTTGCCATTGTTACTGCATCAGTTACTGGTTATTTTGGGGTGGGGGTCGGGGGCTCTACTTCTTTCACTGACTGACTTACTGTTAATTATTATCTACAGGAACCAAATAACTATTACAGCTGGTAGGTACAGGGTTTCCCCATGTAGTTTCCTCATAAGCTCAATATGTTTACCGTCAGGTATGTTGTTACACAGATTTTGTACGTCACTCTGCACATGAATGATTTATGGCTTTGTCCTGCCGCTAAAGGTCATTCCTCATAATCAGTGTTTTTCTTTTTTCCTGTACAAATGAAAAAAGAAAAATGGCTCGGTTTCCTCTTATGCAGTTCAAATTCAACAGCAGCGCAGTTGTGGCAAACAGCCTGGGGAGTTTACCTGCATTGCCTAATTGGCTAACAGCGTGGGATTAGGGAAATAATTTAAGCACCTTACTCTCTACTCCCATTTGACAGTTGGATTACGTTTAGCCAATTGAAGCAACTAATCCTTATAGTCTCCAGTTCATTCCCCGAAAGTATCCCTCCAACATGAAAGCCAGCTTTGGTCATTCTTTTGTCTTTTCCTGGCTTTAATTTACCGAGTTTGCATAAGAAGTTGTCACATTTGGCAGCTATAAGTAAAAGGTTTTTCTGTATTTACCTGACATCTAAGTTGAAAACGTGTACCTGTGTATGAAATTTGACATCCGAAAGAATTTCGGGGTGTGATATGTAAATTTTGTAGCACTTTTCAAATAAAACAACTCTTTTTCGTGCTGCTTTTCAATCATTATCTGTGAGCTAATAATGTTGCAGATTCGTGGCCTAGCTGTCATTTTTAAAAGCTTGCTGCTCAGTTGAAAAATGCCCCCAATCAAGTTCAGAACACTTCACATGAATGTAAACACTCAATTTGTTCAACAACTCAGGGGGCTGTGCTTTCTGCTCGTTTGCCACAATGGAGTCAAAAAGCCCCAAAGGCTAGAGTTGCATAGCAGGTGCTCACACCTGGGCCTCTGGTAAATCACTCTCAGATGGGGGAATCTCTAAATGCCCCTGACACCTGAGCAAAGACATCATATTGTATTATTCAAGATTTATTTCAAGCATCGTAACTATTTATTTGGCTTAAAGTGACTTTGTGGTATCCGCCTCCTTCAAACATTTTGGTTTTACGTGTTTGAATTTACAAAGGAAACTGAATGAGTTGCATTAAAATGTTTGATGTTGGAAAACGTGTGTAATGTCACACAAATTCTCAAAATAGCATTTATGGGGAAAATAATTGCCAGGTAGGTAGAACAAGGCTTATTTCAGTGTAGCTTGCCAGCATCATAATTATGACTTTCAGATATCAGAAACAGCTTTCAGCTTCACTTCTTTTCTGGGTTTTTTTTTTTGGGATTTTATAGCTCGTGTTTCTAAAAGAAAGTTGGGACGCCTTTAAAAAAGTGAATAAAAATGGAACGCATTGAAATGAGTACAAAGACGACACATCGAATGCTGTCCTATCATTACATGATCCTTTTTTGTAAGGAAGGACGTGGACATGTTTACGGCCGCGGTGCATGACCTCATCCTGTAGCAGCCCTCTTAAGTGTTAACTCAAAATAAACATTTGCGTAAAACTGAAAGCAAAACGTTTCCCAATCAGTCAGATTTAATCTGCAATCCGACCTCCTTTGCGGTATTTTCCTGCCATCATACTTTCCAATGCTGGCGGGTCTGTACTGCAAACATGCCAGTTTAGATGGAGCCATGCTGGCATTAAACATGCTGGATGTGCTTTGGTGTTGTCTTGCTGAAATAGGGAAGACCTTCCTTTGTCTGGATATGTTGCTGAAAACCTGTATTTATTGTTAAACGTCGATGATGCCATCACAGATGTGCAAGATATCCATGCTTTGTGAACGAATACGCCCTCATGCCGTCACAAATGCTGGCTTTTGAATTGTGACGATGAACTGTCCACGATTTTTGAAAACAGTTTAAAATTCTGAGTAATCATACCCCAAAACAGTTTGGCTGTTTACTTAATCCATCTTGACTCTTTACTAGTTAAGAGTTAAAGCTTACTAGTAGTAAACCTTGAAGCTCTGAGCTGAGCCTCCTCCTGTTTCAGGCTAGCTTATAGAACGAAATGACTGGATTTGTATCAGTAGTTGGTGAGGATTGTCTCGTCCTTTGCAGCTACCCTCAGAAAACCCCAGAAACTATTCCAGTGGTCGTCAAACCATGTCTTTATTGTCAAAAGTTGTCAATTAGGGGTCCAGGAGAGATCGTCAGATGTTATGAGACGAAAGAGTTAAATGCGTGTGTAGTTTTAACATGTATATGTGGAAGCGACAAGACCAGAGGACTGAAAATTACAGCCATTTAGTTTTTTAGATATCTAAACATTTAATCCTCTGAATCTTTTCAATTAGAAACAATACTCTTACATTCGCCCTCTCACAGGGTTATGCTCCTCTGAATTTACTACTATTTTGTACATCCTGTCTCTTTGACCCTGCTGATTTTACATTTTTACACACATAGCATTGCTGAAAATACCCAGGATGCAACTGTGTAAGTCCAGTAAATTTGTAATTTCCACATAGACCCATTAGAAACTGGAGCTGAGGTCCCAAATGTCATCTGTTGCTAAAGCTCACTGTGACACAGATAAAGTGCTGGCCTGATTACTGCTGATGTCACCTTCAGGAAGGATGGATGCTGGAATACACGTACACACCACACATGTATACAACAAACACAGACACTAGCTCAGCAGTATTTTCTTCTGGTTTTGTGGATTAGTCACCTGTGAAGTCTGACTAAGAGCATGATGTATGTTTTAAACTCTTAGAAGCAGTTCGATTGAGCAAAAGAAAAACAAAAAGGGAGGGAAAAAACTGCAATTTTGTACATTTATTGTAAGTAATATGTTTAGCTTTGATTTAATAAAAGCATTAGGCTACTAACATCGCAATAATATGAAGTCCAGTTTGAAGAGCGTTTTTAATAAAAGAAGACCTAGACTGCAAATCCCTGTCTTGAATTAAAATGCATGCAAATAGCATTGCAGCTTGCGAGTGCATCAGTAGGATTCCAAATTACTGGGGAACATTGAATTACTCTGAAAAGCTATCCCTCATAAGCCACTAATTATGGAAATTGACAGTTACAGAGATTTGTTGAGGATTTGGATATTGTCTGATTTCCACTGTGGCTGCAAGACTCTGAGGAATAAACCCAATTTTACTCTTAAAAAATAAATAACTGTTGCTGAGAAATAAGTAAATGCTTGTCAGGCTGAAGATGATATCTCTGTTGTTTCAATCGAACACAATAAAAGAGAGCACACTGAAGTATGGAGTTGGTTACACCCCACGCCCCGCATATACTGGTGTTTCTGTCCTCGCAGCACAAGCTTTTAATGTTAATAAAATAAAGCTGTGTTGGTTCTCTGCCTCGTTTTTAATATACGGTCTCTTTTCTCGTGAATATTGCCAAGTAAACTAGAAAATGTGTGTGTCTGTAATAAATATTGAAAATTGAATGACTCACAGATCATAGCAGCAATCAGGTAAATTGTCTCAGAGGGTGGGCTGGATGCATGTGAGCGAGCGCTAACTCCCTCTGCTGCAGGGAGTCGATCCCCTGGTACAAAGTACCTTCTAATCAAACAGCTTAAATGCAGTTTTCTCAGTGATGTGGAAATAACTGTGTATTGCTGTAAGCCTTTTGTCGATGAAAAGTGTATTAAAGCACTGTAAACGTGGTATGAAAGTACATCAGTTCTAATGATTTTCTTCTTCTTCTTTTTTTTTTAAACCCTTGCAGCTGTCCCCTTCCCCCCCAGTCACCGACTGACAGCTAAAGAGGTGTTTGACAGTGATGGGAAGCCCAAAGTGGACGTGCTGAAAGCTCACCTAACCAAGGAGGGCCGTGTGGATGAGGCGGTGGCGCTTAGGCTCATAGGAGAGGGCGCCGCAATCTTGCGTTCGGAGAAGAACCTGCTGGACATTGAGGCTCCTGTGACAGGTCAGGGTTCAAATACTGCATGTGTTACTGCAAACCAGTAATCGACCAATAAAAAGTTAGTCATTTTTATTGGATTATCTGTTTCACTCCAGAAATAGTAGTCAGAGTAATTATTCAGTAGTCAGCCGATGCATCTAAGATTGTATGCAGTCACCCGCAACTAGCCAGTGCTGCAGCCCTACGACTTTACCAAACTGGACACCAGGGTGTATGTCACTCATTTGTTCTCTACTGCTGCAAAAGTGACAGGAAGTTGTAACCAAGCACAGTGAAAAGTAAGACATGACTATCACGTAAATAATGCAAAACGACATTGTGCATGTGAAAGTTAACCT